AGTATGGCAATTTTGAGTTTCAGGAAAATATAAAACAAAGAGAAAAAGGAATTCTGATAAATATGTATTCCTCCCCCCTCCCCAATTTCCTTATTCCATACAAAGGAAGCAAGAGGGAGAACAAAGAGCAAGGATAAAGGGAAGAAAGCTGTTTGGGGCTATGCCAAATAAACTTAAATGGCTTAAGGAATAAATTTTTGGAATGATTCGAATCATGGGCAGGTGCTATGAATGTAATTTAGTAAATGCTTGGGAACCTGCCAAGGAAGAAAAAAATGTGTTGCTTTTGAGATCATTTCCCAGCAGCTTCATAAAAGAAAACTGATTACAGGAATTTAATAAGTAAAACAGAGCCAGAAATATTGTAATCAAATGAGTTTTTAATTACATTTCAAGCAGAAAAAAATTCCAATTTGTGCTCCTGGGATTAAAAAAAATAAGTTTTAGAGAAATGCTTTTGTAGCAGAAAAATAACATAAACACTAATTTCCATAGGAATTATAGTAGTCAGTTTAATTAAAAGGCTTGAACAGAGTAAAGAGGAGCTGGTGCCAAGTTATACTAAATAAAACCATGGCAGTTGTGGCTACCTCACACTATTGTCTAAATAAAACGCTGTGCATTGAGTGGAAAACAAGCACCTGCATTTTTCTCATGGAAATAAAGGGGATTTTGATCACTGCTGGAGTTGCAATGTTGCTTTATTATATGAAATAACTGGTACATTTGATTTAAAATTAGATGTTTCTGTCCACTGTTAAGAAAGAGACTGAATATACTCTCCTAAGGACGTTGGCTTTCAACCTCCACCCCTACTCCCTTAACTTACATCTAGTTACATTTTACTCATATTCATGTAACTCCCTGGAGCAGAGGATTATTTGAGCATATAAATTAGGTTTACTAACAGGTGGTTTGCAGTTGTGTTTGGGGCCATACACTCTGCCATCCTAACAGAAAAAGAGCTCTTCTTTTTCCTTTTGGAGGACTTGCTATTGACCACTCCCTAACCACAGTCATGCTTGGAGAAGGCTTTTCAGAAGATGTGCTAAAATCACAGTGCCTTAATGATATGTTTGCCTTTTTTCCCCCTTGTGATGAGTGGGATATACCTGCAAGGTGTCTACATGAGACCAGGAATATAATCCTGTCCATGGAACAAAAAATAGCTAACTGACCCAAGTCATAAAGTGGGAATATCCTTCCATAGGCTAATAATCTCACAACTTCTTTGTTCCTTCTTTTATTTATTTCTTTATAAGGAAAATAAAAACTATCTTATAGGCCTTTGTGCAACAAAAAGAGAAACTTTAACTTGTCAGAATTTGGGGGAGCCTGGGGAAAAAACTGGCTGGCTGGAAGGCCATGACTGTATAAAAGCAGTGAGACAGGGCTGGGGAGAAAACTCAAGTACTCTCCATGGGGTAAAAGACTGTGGCCTCTGCGATGAAGAGGAGCACGCAGGAGTAAGTTAGTGGGTAAGTCACTTGGCCTATGACAACTTCTAAAGTTCAATACAGTTAGTAGGCATTCAAAATGTTGAGGGTGATTGGATTTCCTGTGAAAAGGGGAAATAAAGTGAAACACTGCATTAGGAATGATGCAGAATGGGGTCAAGAGGGCCACATAGACTGAAGAAGAAGTCAGAGAGTATAAGGAAGTAATACTTGGAAGTCACCGGGAGGAGTCTGAAAGGTCCCCCAGAGCATGAAATAGATTTGAGGTCTAATCTCAAGTCTAAATGGAAGGGGAGGCTGCAAGTGACATAAGATTACATTCAAAGAACAATGTCAGAATTCATGAGAGTTGTACACATATGCAAGATGATGGGTGATAGAACTGATGGATAAGAGGAAAGAAGAAAGGGGAGGTGGGTATGAATAAGTTAGAAGGAAGGTCCTGGTGTCAACCCTCACCCCAAATTGATGACAATAGCAATCATACTCAGTGTGTCCTCAGAAGTTCATGTCTTCAGTCTCCTCATCACCATCACAGTCTCTTAAAACAGGAATGACAAAGTTACTAGCTGGTTGGAATTGTTCATTGCAAAGGTTGAAACCATACAATTTCAATATGTGTACCTTATTATTCCTTGATTTTTCTTCTTGACTCTTTAAGAGCTTCACTTTTATGCTATATCCTCAGCAGATTTCTCTATATATTCATTCTATATGACAGGCTAGTGTCCTATCCCTGATTTTTACTTGAGAAAAACAATGGTTTTCTCCATGGCTTCCAAAACAAATGGTAAGATTACAAAAGGAACCCCTAACTTCCTATATGGATTCTTATCTTCCTCCTACAGTGGAAGGACTGAGGATGACTCATGATCCTAACGTGTGGGGGACATGTTTTATTATCTGTAAAATGCACAGTCATTGTGAGGAATAGTGAGATGAAGTATGTAGAGCAGCTGGCAATGTGTTTAACACATAGGAGGTGTTAAGTGTTAACAGAAGCTCCCCATCATCCACATGGGATGCCAGGTTTTTATACTTCTTTTGGACCCTGGAGATGGAAAGCAGGCCTAAGAAGTATGAATGGTTAAAAATCCATATATTCTCATTGATTCTGTACATTTGTAAACTGAGTTTATAAAATACCATATGAATATATATATATATATATATATATTTTTTTTTTTTTTTTTTTTTTTGAGGCAGAGTCTCACTCTGTTGCCCAGGCTGGAGTGCAGTGGTGCGATCTTGCCCCACTGTAACTTCTGCATCCTGGGTTCAAGTGATTCTCCTGCCTCAGCCTCCCAAATAGCTGGGATTACAGGCGTGCACCACCACACCGAGTTATTATTAATTTTCTTTTTGTATTTTTAGTAGAGATGGGGTTTCACTATGTTGGCCAGGCTGGTCTCAAACTCCTGACCTCAAATGATCCACCCACCTCAGCCTCCCAAAATGCTGGGATTACAGGCGTGAGCCACCTCACCCAGCCATATTTTAGATGTTCTGATCATTTAACCAGTTAGAAACATAATAGAAAGATTCCATTCAAGGCAAAACCCAAAAGTTAGGAGTGTTTATCTCTTGAGTTTTGAGATTATAAATTATCTCAACTTCCTACTTTTTAAACCTATTGTTTCTATACTTTCTAACATTAATATGTTACTTAAAATATACAAAATAACTGTAAAGGAAAGAAAATGTATTATTTTTAAAACAACTCCCCAAAATCTCATGTTTTAAAAGGACAAAGACCATGTTTCTAAAAGTTAAATGTCATCAAAATCTTATTTCCCTTTTCATTGAGCTGTCTAGAAAATTAAAAGGCTCCTAGACCCTTTGTTACATATGTTTTACATGGTAGCTTTACTTATATTTCTTATATTTATTAGCATATAGATACCTAATAGATATTTTTGCTGATCACATTTTACTGGTTAAATATGTTAGAAGCCTTTCATTATGAAAAGTAAAAAAAAAAAAAAATTATTAAAGAAAATATAGCTATTCATGCATTTAAAAGAATGGAAACAATCAGTAAAGTAGAGAATAGTGGGATTTTCCTGTTGGGCAGAGTAAATTCCATGCCCCTCTGATCTGTAAAGTATTTGCCTATTGCTCTTTAATCTGAGCTCCTTGAATTTGTTCTAGTCCCAGTTTAGAAACAAAATCCTCGGCCCTGCCCCCATGTCATCCCTTATCCTGGAATAGCCCTCTGATATGAAAGCTGAAAAAGCACTCATTTGCATTAAATTCAAATAAGCCATCTTACTTTTCGGGCTCTCATTCCACTACCAGGGGCAACCCAGGAGCAGTGAGACAAGCTTATACCATTTGGGAATAGGAGGACTCTTTTTTTTTTTTTTTTAAGATGAATTTTTATTTTTGCGTGTTGCCCAGGCTGGAATGCAATGGCTCACTGCAACCTC